CAGCGCGATAACGATCAACACGCAATGAAGTGATCGTGCTACATAACCACTCAAAAACTAAAACGAATATAGGGTAAAACAATAACAAATACAAGCTTGTCTGACACGAACAGAACGAGGTGTTTTGAGCCGACACCCCGAGCATTTTGAGTACGATAGGGCAACAAAGAACTGGATGCCGCGCCGGACCAGGTTAAGCCGGCCCTGACCTGCGCGCGGCATGCTGTGGAGTTCGGCCCACAGCTTTACCAATCCGGCATGGGCTTCGATGAACGGCAGAAGAGCATGACGAGACGCCGAACGCCTGGCAACACCCAACAGAGTGTATGCACAAAGCACACTTCAAATGCCCGAGCCTCAGCGCGCGTTCAAGCACGGACCCATGACCTAGCGGCAGAAAGAAAGCCACCAGGATCCGGCAGCAGGAACCAGCAGCCGGAGGCCAGACACCTTCGCTTGGTAACAGATAGCGATACACAATAGATTGCAAGACCTGCCCCCACGCGACAGGCTTGCGCCGATAATTAACCGCTGCCGCGAGCAGCGACGATCCGCGCCGCTGATAATGTCGTTCTTGCCCTCCCCGCCGCGCTCGTGTTTCCCGGCGATAGATCTGCGATCAATGCGACCAGGAGAACCGCACGGCTGACGCGGGAACACACCGAGCCGGCCAGCGCTCTGCGGCGAAACTCACCCTGCAGAGTGGTGATGCTCTTGTGCGCCATGGTCAGGTGGTTCATCACCTGGTCCAGACTGCCCTGCCACTTGCAGCTGGCGCCGGGGCACGGACATTGGTACGGGCGGCACTCGCACGTCTCCTCGTGCTCGGCCTTCTCTGTGTGCAGCAGCAGCACCGAACAGCCCGACGACACGTACTTGCAGGGAAACATCACCGTCGTCGCCACCTTCTCCATCGCCAGGTTGCGGATGTTGCCTGCGGGACAGTGGCGACTTTGGAGGCGGTGGGGAGGTGCACGGCGACGCAGGACTCCAGTCAGGTACCCATGAGCAACGGAGGAGGCGTCGACCACCACGCGGCGCGACAGTCGTGAGTGGCGCGGGGATAGCAGTGCGCCTCTGAACGAGACACTGACCGCCAGGCATTTCAGGCATTCATATACCACAGTTTACACGAAGGAGCACCGTCGCTGATGATGGCGCGGGGGCGGCGCCGCCCGGAACGTCAGCGAGCCCGCCAGCGCGGCGGCGGCCGCGGGTAGCCGCGTGGCTGCTCACCGAGCGTGCCGCGGCAGGTCGGACAGCAGGTGAGCTTGGAGCGGATGACGAGCACACCAGGTGGCCGCTCTGACACTGCAGGATCGGTGGCAGCACGTAGTCGTAGCACACCGGACACTCAAACAGCGACGCCAGCTCGTTGTTGGAGCCGGCGCCACTGGGGCTGGCGGCCACCGCCGCCGAGGTGGTGCCAGTCACCGGCAGCGCCGCGCGACCCAGTTTGCGGTCGGCGCCGCCAGCCGTTGTGCCAACGTAAGGCAGCTTTCCGGACATAGCCTGCAAGACGGGTGAAAGGTCAGCACCGCACATCGCACTTAACTTCCAGACACAGCAGTGGGCAATCAGAGGCAAACGCGTGACAAGTACACGGAAGTGAACATAAAAATGGAAACTGGGGCCGCGATTTCCACCTTCAGAACAGGGCAGCTTGGCCTCTGGATCTGGCTTGAGCTGTGATATGCTGCATGAACAGTCACTCTCATGTGCAAGTCGCGACGATTTATGTCGACGCGCGCCTCGCTGTACCCGGATTCGCACGTTCAGGTCTAGCTTAAAATAGGATGGAGGCTGCATTTCCGCTTCTTACGCGCCGTGCATACAAATACCTGCAATCACATAACCAAATCTCCGCAATTGTGTACCACTAAATGGCCCCCACAAGCTTAAGTTCTCTAAAAAAACTGGAAGGAAATTAAAAAGTGGCAAAACATGGTGCACACCACATGAGCCAGTATATTCAAAATATACATAGCAAACAGCATTGCGTATAACTTGTTCCAGTGACCTAGCATAACTGAGTTGAGGTCAAGTGTTGGGATCTGGATCAGGTGAACGGCAAGTACAAAGCTGGGTTCCTGGCACCCTGTACTCTGACCCGTCATTGAATTGTGATCCAGTGGTATGACAACACCAAGATAATGAGAGTGCACATTAATAGGTTATGCAATATTGCACATTTGCTTTGATAAACTGATTACTGGTAGAGAACAGCATCACTAATCAGGCTTTTGAAATGGTTCTGGCAATGCTTACAATGTACTGACCTTACACCTACAAAGACCAAACATCCACAATGTTGTCAAGAACATCACCAGAAGTGTCTGTTATCACTTCAGAGCCGCTTTGTATACTTGCATATCTTCTTGATATCACTCCTGACCAACATAAGCATTGTTCTGGTCACCCTTTCAATGTGAACTAAGTCTTACATCTACCTTTGTGACCAGCTCTGACCATTCACTGGATGTACAATTTAAGCCCTGATGATACTTAACTCACAGCTTTTGAAGGCCCCTGTAATGCTGCTTTCCCCAATGACATGGCTGGTTCAGGGTTTGATATAGCCACATATACCAATGTGACAATAGCCCTCAGCCCTTCAACCTTTTAATCTCAGATGACGTGATGGGTGTTCTGTGCTGACATGCATTTGACATGCAATTTTCCACATCCAATTTGAATTTACTACTTTTATTAATGTATAATTTTTCACTGCACTAATTTTATTTGTCAAAGATCATAGTAGCCATTGCCCAGTTCTAACAATGACATAAACCTTTGCTATATGTTAAGAAATGGCTTGAACTTAAGACTTCTACCAAAAGCATTGTCAGCTGCATTCTATCTTCAAAATTAGCTTATCTAGAACTCTCCTATCCTTATATATACATTTATATATATATATATGTACATATATATGCATTACTAAGTATGTAATTTCATACAGAGGCTCACTATCTCAACTAATTCTCCACTCACATGTTCAGGCCTTTACTTTGTTGAAGCATTCATTTATTAATACTTTTTGGGTCATCAACTTTTGCTGAGTTAGAACATAGTTCATTGCTCACAAAACACATTGGCCAGGCAAAATCTTGTTAATGGTAATGCATAATAGCTATATTTGAGATGATAGCAGGAGACCAGATACAATGAAATAAGAAAGCATAATAAGAAAGCAACCATGTCATAAATTCCATGAAATTAGGCTTGGCAGTTACATGAAATGAGGATTAGGATCAGAATCTAATCCTGCAATTGGAAGAGACTTCACCATAACCTTCAGAGGGACAGCTGGAATAGATTTGTACACTGCAGGATTCCTTCCAGTTACATTGAGATACACAATTCTTTTAAGGCCATGGCATTAATAAATGTCCATATCATGTACACAATAAGTATAATGAATATCCAATGAGCTAAACTGACAAAATCAGAATCTCAGCCCTCTCATGTAACTCCCATGAAAGAAACATGCAGAGCTGCATGCACCTCCACCACCATACACTACAAGCTACAGGAGACAAGTATGCATTTAATGGGGAGCTTCAAGCTCCATAAGCACACAACTACACACATCTACTCATTAACAGCTTCTGTATCCTACAACCTACAATCATACTGTTAGGTCACACCAATAACAAAAAGCTTAGAAACTCACAGAAAACAGTAACTGCCTCTAGCTTGTCCAAATGCTGTCTTCAGAAGTTCACAGGTTCTCAGCCAGTCTTTTATGTTCTACATAAAAACTGTGAAATACCTATGTGTGGACCTATTTGATCATCCCTGAGCAGCTACAACTTTTGCTTGCATAAAGATAGCGTGAAGCAGCAGAGTCTCTGAAAGTATGCCACGGCAACACCCTCCCCCTCTCCAACATCATAACCGTATATCACAAACGTTCAACAGCAATAGCCACATGCCCGCGACCTCAAAAGCAACGCACACCATAAGTGACACCACGCATCACACCACAACGCATACAGAGCACAGATAATTCGTAGACAATACTGGTGCAGCAGCTGGCGAATGCTAGACATGAACGCCGCAGCTGAATTGTATTACCATCCTCTGCATATGTTTTAAACGATCGGTCTTAGCACACAAGTAATGGAGACGTGGCATTCTGTGACCCCTTAAGGACCAAATGCACAATTAATTGATATTAACAACACAGAGCAACTACAACTGCGGGTTAACAATGACTCATCTTTCATGCTGAGACTGACTACCGACTTTTAACGTTGGAACTTCATGCAATCTCAAATGTGAGCATCTGCAGCAGTTGCGCGGGCAGAGCCCTGGCAAGTTGGGAGGGGGGGGGGGGGGGCGTAGGGCCGACAAAGGGTCCCCTTATAGTGAAAAGGCCCACCTAAAAATCGCCAGTTATGACCCATTTAATAATGAGGACATACTTTTCATTGGTATTGTTCACTTTCCTTCAATAACTGGAATAGAAGCCAGAAGCTACCGTGAAAAAAAATCTGACTGATTTTTATGGCCAATAAACTGAAGCCATCATTCGCTGAACGAATACATGGAATAAATCGTCAGTGCTCTCCAACAATGATCCAGGGCCTGGGGAGGAGCCAGAGCCTTGGCAAGGATGCACAGGGATGACAAAGAGCCCCTGATATTAAAAGGCCGCCCTAAAAACAAGTCACCGGATATGGGCCATTCGTTTATGATGGTATGCTTTTCTTTCAAACACTTACAATACACGCCAATGCCCACGCACGCACGCGCACGCGCACGCACGCGCGTATATATATATATATATATATATATATATATATATATATGTGTGTGTGTCTGTGTGTGTGTGTGTGTGTGTGTGTGTGTGTGTGTCTGTGTGTGTGTATATTACAAAATTTTCCCTTCTAAAGCTTGAATATAGAAGAGACGCTACCGTGAAATAACTTCTGTCTAAAGTTTATAGTAAATGAGCTGAAACAATCATGGGTTAAATGGCTGCATGAAAACATGTCTGGTGCTCTTTATTTACAGTGGTCTAGTTTACCCTTTTGAAGCCGATAGAACTCAGACACTTTGTCAGAACTTTTATCCGGGTTGTTCTGAGCTATCAAGGATTACGTAAATGTAGACTGAAGACCAAAATAGGTCAACAGTTTGGATCAATATGGTAAAGCCATGTTTGTCTGGGTATGTTGAACATTCAGTCAGAATCGGTTAGTAGTACAAATTATGTCGCGTGGTTTTAACCGTCCACGCTCGCATATCTTAGGGCCAAAAATTTCGAGGCCAGGCGTTGCAGTCGCCTTAGGCCGCGCAGCGTCGGTCCCGAGGCGAACACTAAGCCGTGGCCAATAGGTGGACGAAAATGATAACGCACTTGAAAGAAGTGCGTTTGAGCACTTTTGGAAAGGAAATCGTACATTCAGAGGCATCCCGAGCGTTCATATGAACCGTGGGTTTTTAGATAATGACGATAAAGTATTAGTCTTTACAGCACCTCGAAGTGCTGTAAGACCGCAGCACCGCGAGACTCGTATCTCGTGGTGGAGCTGGAAGAATGGACGTAAAAGGTCTTTTTTCGTGTTGTAACTATTAATCTGTCAGGGAAACAAACTCAAAGTTTAAAAAAAGATTCGCCCAATGTAATCTTTTCAACTGTACGAATTCATGTTGAAAGACATTCAGACACGTGATTTTCCGATGGCCGCTGTTGCGCGCATGGCACCCGCCACCTGACGTTACTTGCAGTGGCCAACGCTATTCGGTTTTACGAAAACTACGACCCAGGTCATCGCTATTCTTGCTCCCCGAGATTACGGGCGGGTCATTGGGGCTTCATGGCCACTCAGCTGCTGGAGCTATATGGCATGACTTCCTGTCACCCTGACGGGAAGGGCGGGCAGCGCGGGGAATCGAACCCCTTGCATGTAGTTTCCTGAACGCGCAGTGGTTAACACGGGTGCGTTAACTACTACACTTTCGGCACCCAGCGCTCAGGCTCAAACCTTTCGATACTATTTGTTCCATTAGTCGATTCTGCAAAAGAATGAACACTCTCAGCCAAACATAGGATGGCCTAGGGGTTTTGAGCTTTGAACTCACTTCGACCCACTACATTCAACACTTAATGAGGTCTCTTATTTCTTTCCAGTAAACGGGTTCCCTTGAGTGCAGCACTACGGGACACATTGTTCCCGGTCAAGAGCTGAGGGGCTTTTCTGTCCCACCGCAGTGTGCCTTCCGGCCGTCGTTTCGGCCGCACGGGGCGGCAATTCCTCACCGATCCGGAGGCCCAGGGGTGGTAAAAGTATACTTTTGGTCGTCGACAAAATTTCTGGACGAAAAATTGTCTCCAGTGGTATAATGCAATATGATATGAAAGAATGGCTGTTAATTCCATGCTCAGAAGCGCCATCAGTAATCATCCTATCACTGAAGTCTCTTTCATCACTGCAACTTTTAATATCACGCACACAACCGAAACGTTCAATCATACACTGTTCCTCAACAAATGTCAGGAAAACTGCTGCTGTTTGGAAAGCAGGCGCACGTGCCCTAGACTATTGAGATAGCCCAGTCGCAAGAGTAGTTATCTTCCACCTTCGGGACTTGCCGGGGCCTCACGTTCAAACTCGATCTACAGATGGATTTGCTTTCCTCGACCGCAAAAACAAACAAAAACGGAGGACCTCGACAGCCAGGGCAGCAGAATGCATGACAGATTTCGAATCAGTGGAAAGCGGCACTGGGAATGACATCAAATAGGGGGAGGGGAGGGGGGGGGGGGCTCTACGAAGCCAGCCTCTTATGAAAATCACTTGTGCGCTTCGGGTCCATCTCAATCGTCATCAAGCTATCCACCATACCTTAGGCATGCCCCAAGCCCGGCGCGGCATGTTTTGACTGGTGGGTGCCTCTTGCCATGCCCCAACAACTGCATCGAAATTTGCCAATAACCTCTTATCAGGCGGATAGCTCTTTCTGAACAAGTTACTCGCCCTGGCAGGAGGAGGGAGGGTGGGCGACGCGATGTCCCCCCCTCCCCTCTACGGTTTTCTGAGGATACCAAGCGGCATATGGTGCAGTCTCGCTCACTTTGGTAAGCCTTTGGGGCATCCACTGCACGCATGTGGACACTTAAGAATTATGATCCCAAGCAGCTCTGGTTTCAGAGAAGCGATGCTTTTCCGAGCATTGCAAGATGACCCAAGGCGGACAGGTGCGGCGGGCGGCAAGCGACGATTCTGCGGACCGCATGCGGAGAGTTGACGTTGTTACATGAACAAAGCCCTACATCATAACTATAGGCTCCGAACAGATAAAACTACATGCCATTGTACTCATATTTAAACAAGGGACACGCCTCTTTATGTTTCATGTCGCTACGCCGTGTAGTTTCGCATATATGAACATGCTAAGCTGGTGTTTGGTTTTTAAAAAATGTGACCTTCGACTTGGTTTTGTGGGGTTAATTAACAACAGGGGATTTCTCACCAATCACAAGATCTCGTTAAAGACAGTTCTCTGTTTGTTTTCTTGCGAGACCTTACCTCTCTTAGTTTTCAAACGTCAGGGAATGCCCCACACCAGTCCGTGTTACAAAATCCAGCGAATCACCGGTTGTAGGGTTATCGTCGTTGGCTGCCATCCTTTTTTATTTATGTCATATATGTTGGTGTAAGAATCTACATTTCAGACAATGGAAGTATTAGCTGCTATAAAAGAATGACACGTTAAAAAATGTGGCATGGAAAAACTATGCAACCAAAGCATCGAAAGCTCTATATATGCTCTACATAATGAAGAAGTACCATCCACCGCAGGAGCAACATCTTGTGTGTATGTTACTTACATCCGACCACTGCTAGAATATTATGCACCGGTTTTTTTACGCGGCGCTCACTGCCAAGCAGGCGCAACATCTTGAGAAAGTGCAAAAAATGACCCTTAAAAATTATCTTCGGCGGTACGAAAAGTACTCTCATATCTTGCAACGCTTGGGCATGAAAACCCTCGCTGACAGGAGAGAGAAAAACTATACCTAAGGCTAGGAAAACAAATGCACGCGTCTCCCATGCATAGAGATCTGCTTCCGAGGCAGCGAGTGACGATCTCCGGCAAAAATGCCCGGGCGCAAGCACACTCCCAACGTTTTGCTGTGGTATGGGACTACGCAAATCAAGTGTTCTGCATATAACTACTCTCATTGGCACGGATATATTATCATCTAGGTAGTATCCTACTTCGGAGGGTCTTGTAGGCAAATAATATTCACTGCGTTGATCGGTACATACTTATGTTCGTCAGGGGATATTGCGTTAATGTGCTATATGAGTTGATACTCGAAGCCATGCTTTTCCCAATAAACCGTCCCTCCCTCTCTCTCCCTCTCTCTCTCTCTCCCTCTCCCTCCTCTCTCGCTCTCTCTTTCCCCCTCTTTCTCTCTCCCATTCATTATCAACATCCAAAACATGGTAGAAATTCAATGAGCAAGCCAAAATTGCCCTTTGCATGGAAGTATCATGCAAATCTAAGGTTATCTGTGATGTTTGTCATGTATAATGCAGGAGTACCAATCCAATATATCAATATCTATGATGGGTTGGGCCCCCTCAATGCTAATTCTTCCCCAACCGGCGTTTCTAGGTGGAAAATTATAAAAAGATATGAGAAAAACTATCACACAAAACCATCTTCTCTGGACTTTGTTTATTGACCATGAACCCACGGGTTGCCACCACGCTTCTTCATGTGACCTACAGCCAGTCCTTCGGGGCCTTACCCGCTCCAACGGGCCTTTGATCGTCGGTTCCGGTGTGTTACCCGGCCCTTCTTTGGGCCTCATCGAACACTTTGCTTGGT